TGTTTACCACGTCTCTTTAATAAAGCTTGCAGATGGATCCACACGTCTCACGTCTCGTCAGCCCCGTTACAATTTATAAGCATATCTATTACAAAGGAGATTTAAATGCTCAGTTATTTTCCTAACAGAAAAAATAAACAAACACAACACAGAGGGATACAGAACTCAGAAATATTTATTTCAAGATGCAAAATAAATAAAGAGTGCGCGCACACTCTCCGGGCGAGAGCAGCGTGTATCTGAGCGCAGAGATTCGCGCTAGCGCAATATATTAATGTGCTTTCGCGCTACAATAATGGGCTCTCGACATTTGTCATTAAAATAATGCCATATATGTTCCCCACAATCAGAATACATGGGCTGCACTTATACCTAAATAGTTTGTCATACCACTTTATAACTGCTAAATTTAAAATAAATAAAAAAAAAACGAAAAACATACCTTTTTGTTTGACCTGCTCAGGTTCTAAAACAAAAACAAATATAGCTGTATTAAAATGATCTTTCTGAATCACGCTCATGCATTTGTTTTTACTGTGAAGGGCTGGCAAATAGATTCCTGTTTGTTATGTGCTGGATTGCTCTGATTTTCTTTGACATGTGGTGTGATGATATTAAAATGATATTAAAAGTCTGTGTAAGTAAAGTCTGTGTTGGTAAATTAGCCATAACACAATCAGCCATTGTACCTTTCTGTAAAGGTTCCTTTACTTGTTTGACCTCCTCATGGGTGATTTCTAGCATCAGGAGAGAGATTTTTAGTCACTGACACAACAATAAGAACACCTTATGTTTTTACATAGCACTCCCTTAGAAAACTAGAAGAAAGTGATTGTGGTGGGTGATTTCAATTCTTAACAGTAGATATATATTTTACCTTTCTTTTTGGGCTCTGGTCTGATCTTAGCTTTTGGAGCCTCTTTATCTAGAATAGAAAAGTGAATCATTTCTTGGACATAATGGATATAAATCATTTGTTGTGATGACCTTTAATCTAAATAACAGTTCAAAGTGATTTACAAAGAAACAAAAACTAATATTTTCATTAAAATAATTTTCTGATTTAGGTTTTTATGGTCTTAGTTGCCCACAAAAAAAATCACAGAATTCATAAAATCACTTAAATAATTTCTGTCAATTAACATTTGCATATTTGTATAATATAGCTGCTGTTACATAGCTTTCCGACATACCTTTCTTTGCAGGTGCTGGTTTACTGATGTTTTTCAGTGCATCACGTTCTGTGTTGTGAAGAAGACAAACTGGTTAAGCTGCATGCAAGTTTCAATTTCATAAGACAATGAAAACTGGATCTAATTTACATTCATCTTGTATTGTATATATGCAGACTAGAGAACTAATAAAAGACAATATGGGTAAGACATAAATATAAATTATACATAAGCAGAAGAGCCAATCTGACTGAAAGTGCATCGTAGAATATTCTAATACTGCTCTAATGAAGCTTCGATTTCATTAATAAATTGTCTCCGGCAATCTCCGGCAAACAAATCCTGAAAATAATAGGTTATATATGAGAATTACCTGCTTTAATATGTGCTGTCATCTTAGTAACGTTCACCAGAGCATCATGGTCTAGAAAAGAAAAATCTTTCACTTACTCGCATGTGAACACTACAGTGGGAATCCCAATTGTACAGTCTGGTTCCTGTTTAGTTGTAGCTCGTTATGTCTATAATTCATGACCAGCTTGAGTAATTGAGAAGTTTTAATACCTTTTTTTGCTGTTTTGACCTTTTCCTTGGAGACTGCTGGTTTTACCTTTACACCGACAGTCTTCGGCTCTAAGATACAAGCAGCATGTGGTTTAACGTAAGCAAAACAATTATTTCTACAAATAATTTATGCAAATTAAGTTTTTTATTTTTCCGGCCTGCTGATAATGACAAAATCCACCACATTTCTAACATGGACAAAATACCTTTGATTGTTCTGTTGTCCATTCGTAAAAGTGTAATTTGATTTTGAGTGGACTCCAGATCACTCTTCATTTCACCAATGTCCTTCCTCAGTAAATCCAGAAGAGACAGTTTTTGGTTGATAGAGTTCAGGAGCTCCAAGTCCAAACCAATAAAACCAAGACCAACATCATCTGTGTATACAGAAGTGTAAAAATCATTTGTGTAAATGATCTGAGGCCATTCAGACTCTTATCAAATGCGCAGATGTTACATGAGATTCAATCATGCAAACGTAAGCTTTAATTATTCATTAGCACCATCAAAAACAAAAAAACAAAAACAGGATTATTAGTACATTTTCTAAAAGACTTGTGGGGAAATCTCACCTTTTTTTGGCGCTGGTTCTAATAACTTTTCTTTAGCGACTTCAGGCTCTATTAAACAATATTTCATGTGATAATAATATTATACAATAATCATGTAACAGAAAGCAACACTACACAGAGGATGATTTCATTGACATTCACACCTTTCTTCACAGGAGCTCGCTTAACTTTCTCCTTGGTGACTTCAGCCACTGAAAAGGAAATGATGTGAAAATATTGTTTAAATATGATTTTCTTTAAATTGGAGGTAAAATATTGGTAACTCTTACCTTTCTTCTCAGGAGCTGGTTTAGCTTTCTCCTTGATGATTTCAGCCTCTAAAATGTTTATAAAATAACATTTAGAGCAAATAAAAAACTTAATACAGCATGATATAATATTCTGCTTGGGAATAGTGTTAATGTGATTGCTAACTGAGTAAATCAAACCTTTCTTCACAGAGTCTGGTTTAGCTTTCTCTTTGACAATTTCAGCCTCTAAAACAGCAATAGTAATAAAAAACATTGGGGAAAAAGCCTTATGGCTTGGCTAAAATTGATAACTCAACTAAAATAACCTGATTATTTTAAGGGGCTGAAACCTAATTTGCTACACAAGATATCACACTAAAAATAGAAGCAAATAAACTCATACCTTCCTTCACGGGGGCTGGTTTAGCTTCTCCTTTGATGACTACAGCTTCTGAATTAGTTATGATGAAAATTTTTTTTATAAAAATTTAAAACACACAGATAAGGAAAATTGTTAATTTAACATTATTAAATAGTTTAATATACCTTAAAAATCATTCTATCAGATGTTAAATGGCATTAATATCACAAAAAAACGTACCTTTCTTTGGTGCTGGCTTTGGCTTTTCTTTAGTAATTTTGGGTTCTGTAAAACACGGCAGTAGAAATTTACAATAGCAAATAAATGGACAATTTTGTGTTACGTGAATTTTGAATTAAAATGTCAACCATGTACCCTTTTCTTCAAGGACTGGTTTTGCCTTTTCCTTTGGAACTTCAACTGAAAAGGAGCGAAACATTAAAAAGGATTTGTTTCTGAGAAAATCCTGAAATGCTTACGGTATTCAGATACCTATTCAAATGTGCAAATGATAAACACTGATTACGCTACATATATTAATACCTTTCTTTGTAGGTTCTGGCATTGGTTCAGGTGCCTTTTCTTTATGAACTTCATGCTCTATAAAAAAGCAGTTTCAAGTGATGAATGATCACACAGTGGTGTGCAACATCATTACACACTCTAAAAAATGCTGGGTCAAATATAACCAAGCGCTGGGTTAAAAAGGGAGAAACCCAGCTATTGGGTTGTTTTGACCCAGCTATTGGGTTGTTTTGACCCAGCGGTTGGGTTCAAAACAACCCAACCGCTGGGTCAAAACAACCCAATAGCTGGATCAAAACAACCCAATAGCTGGGTCAAAACAACCCAATAGCTGGGTCAAAACAACCCAATAGCTGGGTCAAAACAACCCAATAGCTGGGTCAAAACAACCCAATAGCTGGGTCAAAACAACCCAATAGCTGGGTCAAAACAACCCAATAGCTGGGTTTGTCCCTTTTTAACCCAGCGCTGGGTTATATTTAACCCAGCATTTTTTAGAGTGCAGGATGATTTTGTTCACATCATTACCTTTCTTTTCTTTTTTTTTTTTTTTTTATCAATACCTTTCTTTTCAGGAGTTGGTTTAGCTTTCTCTTTGATGACTTCAGCCTCTAAAATCATGATAATATCAAATATTTAAATCATTACCATTCTCTTAAAACTGACCAAAATAGAAATATGTTTTGACATTGTCTTTCAAAATTAAATGACAGTACCTTTCTTTGGTGCTGGCTTTGTCTTTTCTTTGATTATTTCAGGTGCTGCAAAATGTGGGGGTTTAACTTCAAACCATTTTAGAAAATCAGGCTGATATTTCAGTTTCAAATGCCTAACAAAGGACTCTAATACATTCTTAATATATTTAGCCTTTGAAATGCTGAGTTAAAGTATTTTCACTCATTTTTGCTATGGGAAAATCTCACCTATTTTTGGTGCCGGTTGAGGGTCCTTTTCTTTAGCAACTTCAGGCTCTATAAAACTGTTTTAATTCATGTAATGAACAATCATTATACAGCCAAAATAGCATATGCAGGATGATTTCACTGTCATCCATACCTTTCTTTACAGGAGCCAGTTTAACATTCTTTTTGATGACTTCAGCTCCTGAAATAAAAATAGTTGAATAAGAAAAACTTGATTTAAGTAAATATGAGCCTGATCTTTAACTTGACAGCAAATATCAAGCTGCAATAAGTAACTCTTACCTTTCTTCTCATGAGCTGGTTTAGGTTTCTCCTTGATGACTTCAGCTTCTAAATTGTTGATAATATTCATATTTTTTAGCATGATCCTAAATTTTCTTTGGGAATTTTTTTTATTACATTATAAAGTAAATCAAACCTTTCTTACACCGGAAAACAAGAGCATATTCGGGATGATTTCATTGCCACCCATACCTTTCTTTACAGGAGCCAGTTTAACTTTCTCCTTGATGACTTCAGCCTCTAAAATTATGAAAATATTTAGAGAATGAGAAAACTTAAGTTAGAGATTCATCGTTAACTTGAGCACATATCCAGCCACAATAACTGTTACTCTTACCTTTCTTCTCAGGAGATGGTTTAGGTTTCTCTTTGATGACTTCAGCCTCTAAAGTGTTGATAATTAAATAATGTTAATATTAAATAAAAAAGGCTTTTTAGCATGATCTTATATTTTCTCAATAAAATATTTCATTACATTTTTAAGTAAATCAAACCTTTCTTCTCAGGGGCTGGTTTCATTTTCGCTTTGATGACTTCTGAAATTGTGAAAGTATAAACATATTCAGAGAAGACAAAATACATATAATAGAGTTATAAATTAATGTACTCCTCTAAACTGGGCAAAAATTGTACAATGAAAGCACAAATTATCGGCCTATCACTTCTTTGGGTTTTGGTTCAGGTGCCATTTCTTTAGGAACTTCAGGCTCTATAAAACAGTATTTTTTCATGTGATAATTATCACTATACAGTTGTGTAACAGCAACACAAGCTGATTTCACAAACACACATACCTTTCTTTACAGGAGCTGGTTTGACTTTCACCTTGATGACTTCAGCCTCTTAAATGGCCTCTAACACGATGATGATATAAAAGCATTAGCATTTAAAACTGGGAACTTTTTTGGCCATTATTATTTTAAAAAATTGCAGTACCTTTCTTTGGTGCTGGTTTTGTTTTTTCTTTAGTTAGCGCGGGTGCTGCAAAACATGAGGACTTAACTTCAGATCTTATCTTTAAAATAGCAGCTGTGGTGTTATGATGTTAACACATAAGTTGTCAAATATCCTGCAATTCACATTTCTGTAATATTAGCAAAGCAAGCACACAAATCATAATTGACTATTTTTGCCAACATCTGCTGATGTGTTGATAAGTCAGCAAGGGCATATACTAAATATGTACCTTTTTCTTTAGGGACTAGTTTAGCCTTTTCCTTTGGAACTTCAACTAAGAATTGATTAGAAGATAAATAAGAATGTTTCAAAGCAAAACCTTAAAAACTGAAACATAATTATACAATTCAGGGATTCAAAATCACATAAGTTACCAGAAAAACACACGTATAATACCTCGCTTTGCAGGTTCTGGTGCCTTTTCTTTAGGAACCTCTGGCTCTGTAAAACCAAATGGTTTGTTGTGATAAATGATCATCATACATTATGAAAGCAACAATATGTGCAGATTATTTAACTCAATCCATATCTTTCTTTATAGGAGATGGTTTAACTTTTTCCTCAATGATTTCAGCCTCTGCAATGATTATAATATACAAATGTTTATATATCGTGTATCACATTTTGCTTATAAAAAAGTGAAACTGATAGTTGACAGTAAATCAGACCTTTCTTCTTAGGGACAGGTTTAGCTTTCTCTTTGATGACTTCAGCCTCTACAAAACAGAATAATATTTCAGTTTCATAATATTAAACAGTAAAGCTTTTTTTGCTATAAATAGATTGACCATATTTTTGGTAAAAGTGTAAAATGCAAAATGCAAAATGACCTGAGAGGAAAACAACTAATCTATTTTGTGTTTCGGTTCAGGTGCCTTTTCTTTAGCAGCTTCAGGCTCTTTAAGACAAATTAAGTTTTAATTTATAAATGATCATTATAATGTCAAAATCAGCAATGCAAGAAAATGTCGTTCACATCCCTACCTTTCTTTTCAGGGGCTGGTTTAGCTTTCTCTTTCTTGATTTCAGCCTCTAAAATGTTGCAAAATAGTTATAAAAACATTTTAACATAATATTACATTTCGTTGAGGAATAGTGTATACACTAATAACTTTACGTAAGCATACGTAAATTGAAATTATGATAATGCAAAAATATTTAGAGGATGCCAAACACATCCATTGACTTAATCTTAAATTTTGCTTTGAGGAAATGGAAATGTTTTAAATATTAACATAGTAAATGAAACCTTTCTTCTCAGGGGCTGGTTTAGCTTTCTCTTTGATGATGTCAGCCACTAAAATAAAATAAAAAAATTCTAATCTATTTTGCATTAAAAATCTAAAGCTGTTGACTTTAATTTTCTCAGGTTTATGAACATATGAAAAAAAACCACTTTGTAATGATGTCTTATAAATAAATATTGTGTGTTTATGTAACACAGTAGAAGCATACAAACACATACTTAAAGCAGAAACACCTTTCTTTTTCTTTGATGAAAAAATATTATGAGAAATCAAAAGATCCGTGTTATAATAAATCTTCATTGATATCCATACCTTTCTTCTCAGGGGCTGGTTTAGCTTTCTCCTTGATGACTTTAGCCTCTAAAATGGCAATGATGTCAAATATTTTGAAGATTTAAAAGATTTATTATCTTTATAATTTTCTTGTGAAAAGTGTTCATTTGATTCTCAACACAAAAAAATCCTACCTTTTTTCTCAGGGGCTGCTTTAGCTTTTTCTTTGATTACTTCCGCTTCTGTAATTGTTAAGATATAAAAACATTTAGGAAAAAAATTATATTATTCTAAACTAGTTGGCAAAATCTGGAAATGTTTAATATGTTGAAATAAAAATAGAGAATAAAACAATGACATGAAAGAATAAATGGCATAACATTTTGTATAAATACACTGCCTGGCTGGTAAAAGGTATACATATACTAAAATACTTGCAGGATGTTTCTTAAGGAAAAAAAGATGAGGTCTTTATGATCTTTATGATACAGCACTGATTCATGTGATGGATAATCACACAAGCATTTCATTGACATCCATACCTTTCTTTACAGAAGCTGGTCTAACTTTCTCCTTGATGACTTCAGCCTCTGAAAAGTATATGAATGATATACAATATTTAGAGGTTTTAATTTTTTAATAGTCAGAGCTTGTGTAAAATGTTTCTCAACAGTAAATTAAACCTTTCTTCTCAGGGGTTAGTTTGGCTTTATCTTTGATAACTTCAGTTTCTGAAACTGTGAAAATATAAAACATTAATTATAACAACTGACATGAAACTTCAAGTTCCATGAAAAAATAATCATCAAACAAAAGCATTTCATTCACATCCATACCTTTCTTTACAGGAGCTGGTTTTGCTTTCTTCTTGACTTCAGCCTCTGAAATAGCAATGTGGTGATTGTTGAAGTATTTGTTTTTAATATTATCTTTAAAACTGCCGAGATAAAATATCAACATGAACTCACCTTTTTTCTCAGGGGCTGGTTTAACCTTTTCCTTAATGACTTCAGGCTCTAAAATTATCATAAAGTTTAATCATAAATGTTGTTAGAGAAAATGGTAATTTAATTCTTAATACAGTAAATCAAACCTTTCTTCTCAGGAGCTGGTTTAACTTTCTCTTTGATGACTTCAGCCTCTAAAGAAAAAAAAAAATATATATATATATAAATAAAGAAAAATGCGAACGATTAGCTTTATTTACAAAAGGCCAGTGGAAAAGCTGTTATATATATATATAAGCATTATTCCCACTAATAAATGTAAGCAATTTACCCTTCTTTGGTACAGACTTGGGTTTTTCTTTGGTTATTTCAGGTGCTGCTGCAAAACATGAGTGTTTAACTTTAGAGTTTGCAGATGTACAGATAAATCAACAAGGTGCTGCATTACATAATTATTCAAAGTGATTTTGAATTGACAGGTAAACTAGGTACGTACCTTTCTTTTCAGGGACTGGTTTTTCTTTTTCCTTTGGAACCTCAACTGAAAAGACATCACAAGGTAAATTAATATTCTTTCTACGAAAGGCTTATATGAAAATATGTGTACGAGGCATGTTTTCAAAATTGCACATTTTAAAATATAAACAGTAAATATAGAATATTAACACCTTTCTTGGTGGATTCTGGTTTTGGTTCAGGTGCCTTTTCTTTTGCAACTTCAGGCTCTATGAGACAATAACATGTCATGTGATGAATGATCATCATACAGTTGAAATCTAAAGTATAGGATTATCTTATTCACATTCATACCTTTCTTTACAGGAGCTACTTTCTCCTTAATGACTGCAGCCACTATAAAATAACATTTAGAGATTGTAAATAGGTGAATGCTGTTAGCTTGGGTAAAATGTCAATCTGAATGAAGCATAAATGAAATCGATAAAATGTAAAAAGTTTAAATAATGGTAACACTTACCTTTCTTCTCGGGGGCTGGTTTAGATTTCTCCTTGACTTCAGCCTCTAAAATTATGAAAATATATAGAAAAAGTATATTTTAGCATAATTATTTTTGAATGGGGATGGTAATTATGATTTAATTGTTAAAGCAACTCAAACCTTTCTTCTCAGGGGCTGGTTTGACTTTCTCTTTGATGACTTCAGCCTCTAAAATGAAGTTTATAAAAAAATTGAAAGCATTAGCATTGTCTTAAAACTGGCCAGACTACAGGTTTTGACATTATTCTTACAGATGAACTCAGATAACTTTCTTTGGTGCTGGCTTTGGTTTTTCTTTGGTTATTTCAGGTGCTGGAAAACACAGCAGTAAAGAACAGTCATAACTGACTTTTTACATTTGCAAATGTGTTATTTGATCAGTGATACAGTGTCAGAAAATAAATAAAAATCCTTTGTAACCTCAACTGTAAGAGGTTACAAGGTAAATAAGGACATGTTTTTAAAGAAAACTTGTAATGTGAAAATATCTGTATGAGATTCAGTCTAATCTAGTATTCATTGTTGTAAATGTTGATAAAGCATATACTGTATCTTATTACCTTTCTTTGGAGGTGCTGGTTTCTCTTTGATAAATTCAGGCTCTATAAAATAGATGGATAATTCACTTTCAATAATGTCAAGCAACTTCAAGAGCTTCTGAATAAAGAAAATTCTCTCTAAAGAATAATCAAATTGACTGCTGATGAAATATGTAAAATATTCAGTAAATGTTTTTAAAGGTTCAAGAACCAACCTTTTTTGGGTTTCAGTACAGGTGCCTTTTCTTTAGCAACTTCAGGCTCTATAAAACAGTTTTAATGCAATAAATGATCATTATACAGTGGAAAACAACAGCATATTCAGGATGATTTCATTGATATTCATACCTTTCTTTACAGGAGCCGGTTTCACTTTCTCCTTGATTACTTCAGCCTCTGAAATGGCAATGATGTGAAAATATTTAGAGATTTCACAAGGTTTTCTTTAACAATGTTTAAATGTCCTTGGCTAATTTTTAAATTGATATTTAATACAGAATGAAAGTCCACATCAAGCTACAATAACGGTAACTCAAACCTCTCTTCTTAGGGGCTGGTTTAACATCTTTGATGACTTCAGCCTCTGTAATGATAAAAAGAGGAAACAAAATGGCTTTTTAGCATATATGTTCTTTAATTTGATTAAGGGAAATGTTCATTTGACTCCTACTTTTGCTTAACAACAATACCTTTCTTTGCAGGAGCTGGTTTAGCTTCCTCCTTGATGACTTTAGCCTCTGAAATGTCAATGATGAGTAAATATTTTGATACTGTAAAATATTTTCTTTAACATCATTTTTAAAATATGTTTGTAGAATCTGCTTGATGACTTCAGCCTCTTACATTATGTGATGATGAAAACAAAGCAAGCAAAACACTATCACTGTCTTAAAACCTGATTGGAGAAAATATTAGTTTGTATTATTGTTCTCACAAATAATTTTATATACCTTTCTTTGGTGCCCTCGGTTTTTCTTTGGTTATCTCAGGTTCTGTTAAACATGGAATTTATGAAACATAAAAAAGCTTGGAATATGACACACATTAGTCCTGCCTGGTAGCAAATTTTGCAAATATTTAAAACAAACATTGCATATACTGCATCCTAATGTGATACCTTTCTTTGCAGGTTCTGGTTTAGCTTTCTCTTTGGTAACTTCAGGTTCTACAAACAAAATGATATTTCAGTTTTAAAACAGTTCAGCAAAGACATGTCTTTATAGCAGCTTCAGGCTCTGAAACTATGCTTAGAAAAATTACATATGAAATGTTGCATTGGCCTTAAAAACTGTTAAATATTTGTACCTTTCTTTGGTACAGGTTTTGGTTTTGCCTTTTCAACTGCAACAGCAGGTTCTGCAAAACATTCAGATATAATATCATACGATTATGTTTGCTTGGATATCTAATTGTTATTAATATATGTAATTGTACAAATTATTATTTCAATTATTATAAAAAATCATTCTCCCAGATATCCAGGTTCGGTTTAACATATCCTGTTCCTTTTTTAAGGAAATATACCATAATCACAGACTTATCCATACTTTTCTTCACAGCGACAGGTTTATGCTTGTCTTTGCCAACTTCTGCCTCTGAAATATATAATATTATACAGAATACATTTCTACACACACAAAAAATGCACAAAACACTGAACCACTTCAAAAACATGATGAACTATGCAGACAATTAACCTTTTTTGGAAGGTTCAAGTTTTGCTTTCTCTTTTGGAACTTCAGGTTCTGTGAAACAGTATATTCAGTGTGATGTTTCATGTTCAATATGTGCTCATATTCAGAAAAAAAAAAAACCCAAATAATTAAAGATCACTTCTTTGACTTGATATCAACAGATAAAGATTTAACTTGTTACTGGACAGAAATAAACACTTGTTAAGTAGTATAAATACCTTTCTTTACAGAAGCAGGTTTGGGCTTTTCTTTTACAGCTTCTAAAAAAATAAAAAGTTTAACATCAACATTTCTTTCTAAATAACATGAACACAGTTGTATTTTGTGCAATTTTCACATTTGAAAATTATGACCTTTCTTTGGAGTTTTCTCCTTCTCTTTAATAATTTCAGGCTCTAAAAATCAAGTCAAACTGCTTGGTCAAATATTTATGTAGCGTTAATGTACATGCTTAAGTAATGTAAAATATTCCGAAAGTTTTCTTCTCAAACAAACCTGCATCTTAATGGATAATGATTTGCAGGATAATATTTCAGAAAATCAATCTTATGATTTTACTATTACCCTCTCAAATACAGAGCATGAGCTCTGTACCTTTTTTAGCTGGTGCTGGTTTTGCCTTCTCTTCAACAGCTTCAGCCTCTGTTCAAGATTCAATCATTTTTCTTCATGTGATATTCGTTTCAAGATATGCATGTTGAACAATAAAAACAATTGCAATCATTTTACCTTTCTTTAAAGGTTCTGGCTTGGATTTTTCTTTGGAAACCTCAGGCTCTGTACATCAGTGAATGTTAGCAGTTAGCATCATTAACATTGCAAAAAATATATATATATGTCCAATAAATTCAAACTGTACCTTTCTTAAGTGGGGCTGGTTTCACTCTCTCCTTAGTAGCTTCAGTATCTGAAATGACCATAAATGCATGCATTAGAAATTGAAGTAATATTCAAAACCTATCCTTTTATAGGTATTGATATCCTACCTATAGATTATTCTGACTAGCTAAAATGTTTACAGTAAATATTTCAACAAAGGTTTTTTTATTATTACCTTTCTTTGAAGGCACTGGTTTGACTTTCTCTTTTGCAACTGCAGGCTCTACAATTCAAGCAAAAGTAGACGTAAGAGTGGACAAATGCACTCATCCATAAATTTAAGAAAGGAAAATTACTAATGACCTTTTTTAGTAGCGGTTGTTGGCTTTTCTTCTCAGAGAAGATGAAGGTATATATTTAATAAATTATATATGAGACTGACAAAAATTCATCAAGGACACATATTTCCATATTACCTTTCTTTGCAGTTGGTGGTTTTTCTTTCTCCTTAGAAACATCAGGCTCTGAAAATGAGTCAGCAGGCTCAGCTAATGTCATGCATAAAAAATGACTTTTAATGAATTGCTGTTACTTTAAGTGCAGCCAACCTTTCTTCAAAAGGGCCGGTTTAATTTTGTCCTTGGGAGCTTTAACCTCTGAATAAATAAGAAAAGAGAAAAGCATTTCAACTTGCTGATTTCAACTTTTCGTGGATATGGGCGTTTAAAACTGAAAATATTTTATATATACATCCATGAACGGGATGTGTTGAATACCTTTCTTTGCTGGTTAACCTTTTTCTCAGATCCTGCGCAGATGAAATTGTACACATTTAATATAACATTTTGTATTGAGTTTTTAGACAGCTTTTAAAAAATGCAGAATGATCATGTGAGAGTCCATATAAAAACTACTAGCAATATATCCTATTATTACAAAAAATGATAAAATATTGAAATAAATATCATAATGGACTAAAGCTGAAATATATAGTTTCAATTAAAAACTGTACATTAACCCTGTGTAATGAGGAAGCAAAGCTTTATTTATCTATTCTGTTGGAGTTAGTACATCATGTACTGTATGTACCAGATTTCTTCTTTTTTAGAGGGGGTTCCTTGTCCACTTTAGTCACCTTGACCTTTTTGTCAGTTTTTTTCTTGGTGTCCTTTTCTAGAACACATTTAATATACATAGTACAAGAATATTATCTAATAAAACAGAGGTAATGGGTTCACAGCCTTCACTGTTCTTCTTGAAAAACAGCAGAATCTAGACTTTTAGACGTAAAATCTAAATGTGGATGTTGAGTTTTTCACATAAGAGAAATTAGATCATTTCAGTATGTTTTACCACCCTTACCTGTTGGTTCTCGAGTCTTGTCCTCCTTGGATTTTTCTTTTCTTTTAGCCTTTTCCATCTCCTTTTTCTCATGTTCTTTTTTTTCCTTGACTTTTTCTACTGTTATGTGTATTTGATGTAGTGTTATCTCTTCCTCTTCACCTTCAGCCTTCTTTTCCCTCATATCTGGAAGAACAGAAAAAATTATGTGTCACAGTTCTATCATTTTTCTCTTAAATTGCAGTTTTCATTTCATTCATTTCACAAGCACTGTATTTTACGGTGTGCAAGCACTGAAGAAAATAACAAACCATTCACCTTGAATGATTTTGTATATCTCCTCTCTAGTTTTTTTCTCTTTGGGTTCTTTCACTTGTTCAAGAACTGAAACCATGAGTAAATGTTAAATGAAAGTTACATGTTTTAACATCCATTTGATTAATGAACAGTGAGAATTAGTGCATGAATTAACGCACTATAAGCTTGTTAATTTATCATGAATAGTACTTGAAAAGCAGCAAAGTGGTTGTCAGCCATGACATTGTGTTAGATGGCAAAATGAAATTAATAATGTATAATGGATAAATTAAATAATTCATTATCTTAATGGAATCATTCAGTTAAGCAACAAACAGCTTTGCAAATACTCAAGACACTGAAATTGTTTACAAACCAGTGCAAAGAAGTATTTTGTATGGTTTTCATTTTTCCTAATGATTTGATTTGAGAAAGTAATTCTAAATTACACTAAAAAATTTCATTAAAAAAGAAAACATTACACAAAAGCAAACATCATCTTTTGTGGATTTTGCCTATTTAAAGAAACAATATTGGACAAAAGATGCTAAAATTCTTACAGTGAGCAATGTCTAATTGATTACTAACATCAAATAGAGCTCTCTAATTTTATATATATGAACTTGTACAGCAGCAGAGTCCTTTAGAGAATCCTCCAGCTGTTTTTGCTCCTCTTTTAAGCATCTTTCCAGAAGCAGAAGTGAAGTAGAAACAACAGTGATTGAAACTTCATCTTCATCCATCAATTTGTTCTTCTTTCCAGTCCAAATTGTAAGAGACGAATGATAACACAGTGTTCTTCAGAACTGATGAAATATCATTGTGATGTATAAACATAGATATAAACAAACATGTATAAACTATATGTATAAATAATAGATGTATAGATGTATAATATGCAGTGCTGCCCACTGCTCCGGGTGTGTGTTCACGGTGTGTGTGTGTGTGTTCACTGCTGTGTGTGTGCACTTTGGATGGGTTAAATGCAGAGCACTAATTCCGAGTATGGGTCACCATACTTGGCCACATGCCACGTCACTCACTAGATATATAACTATATAGATAGCTTACAACTATGTTATGTTCTATAAACAAAATAACTGACATTTTAGATGCATTATGGCCACCTAATTAGTTAATTTATACTTGGCCAACAAAAATAGTTTAGTTACAATGTTGTGAACCACAGAATTCAAACAAGAATTTGAACACTGTTTGGCCAATCAAATTATTGGTCCTGATCTTTTGTATAGTTGCCGCTAATAATACATTGCCAATCATGTTATATATTTATAACAACAATGAATAAATTACTTATTCTATCAGGTGCAATCATGAGGGGAATATGAAAGCAAAGTTATATGTTAAAATCTTGCACTCTTATACAACTTTTATTAAATTATTAATTTAAATTAAAAAATAATAAAGTTATGAATAAAATTCATAATTAATGAATAATTTTCCCATGGTAAGTGAATTATACTTTGTTATTAAGGTCATCTATTGACACTGCTTGCCTTCTGTCAACTGAACTATCACTTTTCCCTATTTGTGAAGCATGCAAAAAAATGTCTATACCTTTGTCAGACTCTTCATGAAGATCCTTGTGCGCTTCTTGGTCGTCTGTGCCAATGGAATGGATCTTTGATGTTTTTCTCCTGCTCAGGCCTATTTTTATGACATCTCTCTTCCTGTCATTGTTATTTTCATCATCTCTGTCTGTGAGGTCATGCTGGACAGGAGAAAGGACAATCTCCTCTTCATCGTCATGGTCATCTTCACCAGCAGTTGTTCCCAAGATAGTTTGATCTTTAGTCTCCACCTGAACCTCATCTTCATCTACCTCATTCTCCAGGTTCTTTGTGCCCTTTTCAGCATCAGCAATTGCCACATCTTCCTTCTTCTCCTCGTCTTCCTCTTTTAATTCATCCTTACCTGGGACTTCATGATCATCGAGTTCTGTTGCTGCAATCTTTTCCTTCACACAGATGGGATCTGGAGTAGCTTAAGCCAATTCAGGTGGCTGTTCTTCTTCTAGTGACTCTTCAGCTGTTTCTTCTGTGACAGCAATGGCATATCCATCTGTCTCAGGTTCTTCTTCCTCACCTATGAGATCAGAAGTATCTTTAACTGTTTCAAGTTTTCCATCCTCCTCTGTAACGCTGGGAATTTTCTGAAATTCATTTTCATCTGCATCCAATTCAGTTTTGGTTGTAATATTGGAAGTATCTTCTGCTGTTTCAGTTGCTGCCTCTTCAATTGTTTCAGTTGTTTCTTTTTCCTCTGTAACTGCAGAGGCATCATCAATGTCTTCTGTCGCATCAGAGGTCATCATAGTTGACTTGTCCTCTATGAAATCAGATATATCTTCAACCTTTTCAGTTGCCAATTCCTCATCTATGACTTCTGGCATGTCAGATGCTTCCTCCTCTGCATCAACATCTTCTGTCACATCAGAGGTCATTTCATTTGATTCATCCTCTGCAAAATGAGAGATATCTTTAAACCTTTCAGTTGATGTTTCCTCATCTATGACTTCTGGCATATCAGATGGTTCCTCCTCTGTAACATATGTATCTTCAACCGTTTCAGTAACTTCTTCCTCCTCTGTAACAACATCTGAGGCATCGTCAATGTCTTTCACATCTGTAGCATCAGATGTAATTTCAGTTGTTTTCTCCTCTGCAACTGCAATGGTATCATCATCTGAAGTATCATCAATGTCTTCCGTCACATCAGAGGTCATTTCAGTTGATTCATCCTCTGCAAAATGAGAGATATCTTCAAACCTTTCAGTTGCTATTTCCTCATCTATGACTTCTGGCATATCAAAGGGTTCCTCCTCTGTTACATTTGTATCGTCAACCATTTCTGTAACTTCTTCCTCCTCTGTAACAACATCCGAGGCATCGTCAATGTCTTTCTCATCTGTAGCATCAGATTCACTCATTTCAGTTGAACTATCCTCAGCAAAATCTGAGATATCTTCAACCTTTTCAGTTGATGTTTCCTCACCTATGACTGGCATATCAGAAAGTTCCTCCTCTGTAACATCCAAAATATCTCCAACCATTTCAGTAACTTCATCATCTGCTGTAACAACATCTGAGGTATTGTCCATGTCCTTCACATCTGTAGCATCAGAGGTCATATCAGTTGATTCGTCCTCTGCAAATTCAGAGAAACCCTCAAACCTTTCAGTTGCTATTTCCTCATCTATGACTTCTGGCATAACAGAAGGTTCCTCCTCTGTAACATCAAAAATATCTTCAACTGTTCCAGGAGTTTTATCCTCTTCCATGACATCGGAGGCAACCTCATCATCTTCAACTGTGACATCAGAGCTGTCCTCAGCTATTTCAACCCTTCCTTCCTCCAATTCATTTTTCATATCAGGTTTATGATAGAACTAAGCTTATTTTGCAGATAAAAACACATTTACCAGTTTATGTGCGAGACATAATAGTTTGTTCCGATTGGAAACGCGTCATTACATCACATTAATGACCTTAACAGTATGCACGTGCCACACCCTGATAAAAAAAAAACTCAGTTGAGACATTTTTAGCAGTTTCTTCAAAACCCAAAGCTTATATTTTGTGATGTTGAGATGTTGTGAGCTTCTGTGTACATGTATGCATTTAGCAGATGCTTTTATCCAATGTGACTTGTGCTGCATTCAAGTTACACCTTTTGTCAAGTTCAGGAATGATCTTGCTAGCACAATTCTCTACTGTTTGAGCTGTTTGGACAATTTTAAATAAACACTTTGTGCATCTACAGTGCAGTGACTTAAAATAAAACCCTCTATTTCTTTCCACAACCTCAGCTTCAAATCTCAGGGCATTAATATTGTGAATGTCACAATATTCTTGCAACATGTGCCATAACTGCGGTAAGAACTCCTACATGCTGTATGCTTGTGAATAATATCAACTGACGAATGTATCAGAGAAGGTTAGACGTCGCACTAGACCGCAAGAAGAGGACAGGAAAACAAACAGCAAGAAATGCATTTGACAAACTTTTTATTTTTGTATTTTGCAAAACAATCTGGAGAAATTAAACGCAAGCATGTTTACATAATATGAAGAATTATGTAACATGGGCAGTCCTTTGTGAGAAGGAGAGTGCAGAACATCAACATTCATACTATAATACAGACAGAAAATATAAATGACAATCATCCCTGTATGCAGTCATGCAGGGCCTTTTCATGCACCATATTACATAGCCTGTAACACTAAATGTTCTAAATACCAAATGGATTTAAACAGGGTAAGATGCAACTTAACTGTGCATAAATATGAATGGATATGGGATGACAATGAGGCAGAAAACGACATAATTTTAGTCAATTCAAGATTTTGCATTACATATGTTTGAGGTTTGAGTACTAGTGTTAGTTTTGTTTTAATGTAAAGCTTTTATGTAAATTAAAGAATGTGCATTTACTAACCTTTTTCCATAGGGGGCAGAAATTATCCTGGAATAGATTTAGGAATATTGTTAAATTAACATATTATATTATATATTAACAGAGGTATTGAGTAGTGAGTGAATGAATATTGACACAAACCTTTTCGTCTTATCACTTGCGGTGTGTCGTCTGAAACAGAGAATGGCAGGGATAGTTAAAAAGATAATTGTATTTTAATATACAAGCATACATTTGTGATATACTTGATATGATGAATACCTTTGTCTTCCATGAGCATGTTTGAGAGATAGACCAAGAGCATATCCCTCCTGTCATCAAACTCCTCAACAGTGTCTGTGACAACTTTCATGGGATCAAAGCTAATGTCAGGAATACCACCTGAGAAAAATGAAATAATATAACGCAACTGAATACTCTTTTACAACTCAAATATTGAATACAAATTAAACACAATGTTTGAAGCTGATAAATGAACAATACCTTCATCCACTGCAAACAGACTGGTTAGGTAATTAGAGACAGTGGTCTTTATGTCTGTGGCGTCCTCTACAACAATTTCAGCCAGTTCTGCGGGATCAGTGCTCATTTTGGGAAACCAAGCTGAAATATTGATAAAGTGCCTTTATTTGACCTATATATATATATATATATATATATTTCAATCATGACAACTCTCTGAACAT